TATATATATATGTCGTGTCAAAGTTACACCGATTATCGAAGTTATAACTTAGATAAAAATTTTGTCAAAGTTACAACTTAGACGGATACATTCGTCGAAGTTATAACTTCGACGTTCATTCTTATCGAAGTTATAACTTAGACATTCATATTTTGTCGAAGTTGTTTTTAACATATAGATCAATAAAAATCTATGCGATTATGATGTAGTCAATACTCAATGGCATAAAAAAACTATGTACTTTGCTCATCAACATATTTATTTACTCATGAAGAATACTAATTGATTTTCAAAGAAAATATTGAAAATGAACAGAACAAATTTTTCATACAATTATCAAAACAAATAGAGGCACATACAATGACAGAAGCATTAAGAATCATTTATTACAACATGATGAAGTATGATGACATCGAGAATTACACAATACATCAGCCTGTTTACATTTACCTTTATTTGTTTTACAGCCTTGTTTGCAATCACATTTCAGGATGCCTTGTCCACCGGTGATACTCTCCAGCTTCATGATCTCTCTTACAGATCTTGGAGTATTATCGATGATATCTTGAATTTCTAACGTTGGTTCACCAGGTGCTTTTTCAACTTGATGAAAGCTGTAATAACCATGTAAAGTACTGTACTTGGTTCCTAATTTTAATTTATTATGCTTTATTTCAATTATTACACCTAAAATATTGTGGGCATCAGTCGGACCACGATCAACGTCTGGTACCAGAATCAACTAAATCGAAAAAATTATTATTCGAGTAAATAACAAATTATTCAGTGTTCTACTTACAACATTATCACCGATACTAAAATTGATTAATTTTTGTTTTTTCCTTGTACTTTGTAGAAAATCTTCAGCTTGAGGTTTTGGACCTGCGTGTGCAAATCGTCGTATTATGTTTGTTATTTTAATTCTATTGTTAAAAGGACTTGATCTTTGCTTAATGGTTTTTGGCGAATGTTCAGACTCTATCATATTATTTTGTTGATCAAAAATAGGTTTATCGCAATTTGTTTTAAGTTTTTCAGCCTCATGTTTGCATTCATGCTGAGTGAGTACACTTGATTCAATTTTTGTTGCATTTAAATCATTATTTAATGTATCATTTAATTCATCATTTGATTCATCATTTAATTCATCGTTTAATTTATTATTTGATTTATCATTTAACTCGTCATATGATTTATCATGTAACTCTTCATGTGATTTATCATTTGATTTATTCTCTAGTTCATCATTTTATTGTTCTTCAGTTGCAATTTTATTAAATATTGACTGATGTAATGATGTTGAGGCTGAACCAACTTTTGGTTCGGTGCCGAACAAAACTGAATATGGACTATGTTGCAGGACACGGTGATGGCATGAGTTCTTTTGAAATCCTTTTCGCAGTCAACTATTGCTGATAATGAAGTTGTTAGTTCTGTGAAAGAACATACATTTATTTATAGATTGTTAGTTATTATTGATGATCATGTTTTGAGTTTTTAGAAGATTTACCTCTCCCTTTTTTAATAACAGATGTAAGAAATGATGCCATGACTTAGTAAAATTCGATTATCAGTGAAAAATAATAGATCGATATGTTATTGTAGCTTGAAGCACTGAAATGGTTTAGTTTATACTCAAATATAAGTTCATTGTGCAACAAAGAAAGCTGATTTTTTAATAATCCTATCAAGACAACAGAGTTTGATTATCTCTTAAACTTCGATAAACCAATTAGACTTACCTTTAATCTTATTAGTATGCATTTAATAATTATCCATATTCATTTCAGATATGATACAGTGCATTTACTCGTAAAAAATTTAACTTCGCATAATTTGACAGATGGGAATAGAATCTGGTATTATGACAAGAGCACTTTTTCCATGACTTTTTTCTTTACTTTTCAAAATCAAATCAGAATTGATGAATTTCTAAGATTCCATCTACTTTTGATTCTATTTTCAATTTACTTTTATTAAAAATAAAAAAAAAAGAATAAAAAAATGGATTTCAATATTTTCTTTGAAAATCAATGAGTATTCTTCATGAGTAAATAAATATGTTTGTTAGGAAGTGTCGGCTAACACACTCCTGGTTCACGTTTATTCCTTCCTACTAAAACAAATAATAACTAACAACAACTAAACTAACAATAATCGGTCCACATATATATATCCATATGGAATACATGCTCGAATGTCCTTTTAAAAATGTCCTCGGACGACGTGTCCCCCAATTTCGTCCTCAAGAAAAAATGTCCTCCAGATTTTGTCCTTGAAAAAATGTCCCTCAAAGTAAATGTACTTGAGAAAAAATGTCCTTTAAGGCCCCCCCCCCCCCCCTAGAAATGAAGTCTCACTTGGGACCCTTCGTCTGGGCTGAAATTTTCAGGGATGATTGTTCTTAGTGAAAAACGCTTATGATAAAAATTTCAGCTTCACATGTCCGACTAAATCGCAGTTTTGATTGGTTTTCCTACCTTTCAGAAGAATCGAAATAACTCCGTTCAGAGAAGGGATACAGAGCTCGGGTTGATTTCAAATTGTAGCTAGCCTCTGTACGCAACTTTTCATCGGACGGAATTTTGAAAGTCCCTTCCATTCATTTTTTACGAGCGATTTTGTGGGCATGTCTGCAAAATAAGCATCAAAAAGTGTGGTTCGACGACAGTAAATTCCACTTTTCTCAGCCCTGGGGTTCAATATCAAAAATCCGTCCGATGAAAAGTTAGCTCTAATCAAGACCTTTAAAACAAAAAAAAATTATTGGTTATAGCTTGAGACAGGATGGAGTTATTTCAATTTTTCTGTCTGGAAACCATATTTTGAGAAAAACGCTAAAGAAATTTTAGAACTGGATTTTTTCATTTAAATCCAGAAAAAATCATATTACAATGGTATATTATTAATTCATTCC